AGTTAATAAAACTAAAATACAAATAAAAACTGGGAAAATATTAATAAAAAAAAAAAAAAGAAAAAAGAAAAAGAAAAGTTACATGTTGTCTCTGTAGTTACTCAGCAATTTCTTTTCTTTTGTAGGTATTTACTCAAAGGATAGTTAGACAAATACAAGATATAATTATTGTTTAAAATGGTGAAAAATTGGAAACAGCCAAAATGTGTCTTTCTTGTGGATTAAATTATAACACATCTATACAATGGACTATAACTTAGCCATTAAAAGCCATTATGTATATACGTTCACCAGCAGGAAAAGGTTTTCAGTACACAGCATAACACTAAAAGTATAGTATAACACCATTTTTGCATAAATTTTAGGTACATTTATAAAATGGAAATTTCTGGAAAGATGACCCCCAAAATGACAATAGTAGTTAGCTCTGAATTATAGAATATCAGGTGATTTTCCTTCATTTTTATATTTCTTTGACTTGTTTGAAATGTTTCATATGATAGAGTACCACTTTGTTTTATTTTCAAAAAGCTATTTTTTTGTTTGGAGAAAAACAATGGGGAGGGATGGATTTGGCAAAGCTGCACCTTGAGGGTGATTTGAATCCTTAAATGAATCCAACTGTATACAAGTAAGAGTAAAACTGAATTAAGTGTGTATTCAACTCAGAAAGCTAGGAAACAAACAGCAAAAGAAGGAAAATGGGAAGATGAAATTAATAGAGATAAAAGTAATACAAAATGAAATAGAAAAATATTATAATGATCAAGTATAAAAGATCTGTCTTGGAAAGAAAACAACAAAATAGGTAAGCCCTGACCAAGTCTTATTAAGAGAAAAGAGACCCCAAATAGCCAAGATTAGGAACAGCAAAATGAGGACCTAAGCACAGACAAGAAGAAAACTTTCAAATTTGCCTCTAAAATTAGCAAATATTTTAAAACATAGTATTACCATAATGCTCATGAGAGTGTATCATGGTACGTTTCAGAGAGTAATTTGATCATTCTTAATTAAAGCCTAAACATTTTTGTTACCTGTTTTGGATATCTAGCCAAAAGAAATAATTAGTAGATAGATAGATAGATAGATAGATGATAGATAGATGAGGAGGGGAAGAGAGAAAGAGAGTGTGAGTGAGACAGAGGGAATTTGTATGAATAATAGATAAATAATAGTGATTCTCTCTCTGTACAGGGAAATTATGAACAATATTATTTACTTTATGTTTTATAATGAACTATTAATCACAAACACAAGCAGAAAAATACATAGAAAATGGGCAATTTACAGAAACATTGCTAGTAAACATTTTAAAAATTCAACCTGACTAGTAATAAATAAAACAATAGCCTGATACTTTCATTTTTAACTATCAAATTGCCAACTTTCTTTAATGATTAAATGAAGTGTGGTTGAGGATGCATTTCCAAATATGAGACAGAATGAATGAAAATTGTTACAATCTTTCTGGAGAATAATTTTTCAGTCTACATCAAAAGTATTAAAACTTTGCGTTTAAAATTTCAAATGTTTTGCTCAAAGAAATAACTCAGAATTTTCAAAAAGATTAACTGAGATTTATTCATTGCAGTGTTATTTAAAATAGAGAGAAACTATGTGAAAACTTAACATTCAAGAGACAATTGGTTAAAGAAATTATGATCCAATGCATACTAAAATATAATGTAGCCATTCACAATGAAGTAGAAGCAGTCGGGCGCGGTGGCTCACATCTGTAATCCCAGCATTTTGGGAGGCCAAGGCGGGTGAACCACCTGAGGTCAGGAGTTTGAGACCAGCCTGGCCAACATGGTGAAACCCCGTCTCTAATAAAAATACAAAAATTAGCCAGGCGTGGTGGTACATGCCTGTAATCCCAGCTGCTTGGGAGGCTGAGGCAGGAGAATCGCTTGAACCTGGGAGGCAGAGGTTGCAGTGAGCCGAGATCGCACCATTGCACTCCAGACTGGGAGACAGAGCGAGACTCCATCTTGAACAAACAAACAAAAAACGATAAAGTAGAAGAATAACATGTAATGACTAGAAGGATGGTAGAGTAAAATATTATCATCAAATTGATAGCTTTATAGCTTTTTAAGGAAGAAAGGGAGAAACAAATGAATATAATGTGCTGCATTATTTAATTCTGTGTAAAATAATGTTTATTGTATATTATATATGTGTATATATAGTCTCTTTTTCTTGCTTATCAGCGTTTTCCAAATTTTTCATAAAAAGCACTGTACCAGTCACGTTATCCATTGCCCATTTATTGTCTTGCTAACAGAGCTCTATTTTATCTGGGATGGCATTACACCAGACCAAGGAAAGGAATCATTTCTTGGTCTCAGTCAATCATAACAAGCTTGCTTTTCATTTCCCCAACACCTCTTGCATATGACCCGTTTCTTTCTTTCTTTTTTTTTTAACCTTAAACTATTAAGGGTTAATGACCCATATCTAATCAAAAGATTCAAGGAGTCGACTGGGAGATGTGCTGCTGGGAAAGTTTTGCTCTTCTATTAAATGGGGCTGATGTGACTGTGCCCACCTCTTCCATTCTTCCTATCTGGAATGCAGATGCTATACTCGGAGTTACCAGCAGTCTTCTAGCAAACTCAAAGGGGAAGAGCATCACTGCCTGCCTTGAACATTCTGAGCCTCTCAACCATCACCGCCAACTGCCTACCTTCAGACTTTTTGTTATGTAGAGAAAGCAAGCCCTCTCGAAACCTGCTACACAACATTGTGTTTGTAGTTGACAATACTGTATCATACACTTCATTTGTTAAGAGGGTAGATCTCAGGGTAAGTGTTCTTACTACAGTTAAAAAAAAAAAGAAAAGAAACACCTCTTTGTTTAAGATGTGGTTTTGTGTTACGTGTATCAATTGTGAGCCAATTTAAATATGAAATACAAATATTTGGAAGTGATTTTCAAAATTAAAAAGTGGAATAAAAGGATGGAAACAATAAGTCCATATCTTATCTGTATTTTCTAGAATATACCTGTAATACATTGTGATTAAAATCTAGTAAAAGTTATTTTAAAATTTACAATTTTCTTGCATACATCTAATCACATGATGCTCATCTCAAGAGACCTGGCAGGCAGGGTATTGATGTGTCACGTGATTCTAGGAAAGCACTTCCTCCGCCTAGAGCTTGGCCTCCCAATCTGTGTGAATTCAACAAATCAGGTGACTCTTGCTGACAGCTGTGTCTAAGGAGCTCAGTGCTCACCTCTGAATCTGACTTTCTCTTCCCTATGGACAATGACTGAAAATATACTCTAGAGAGGGAAAATGCTAAAGAGGTAGACAAACACTCAACTTTCACTGACTTAAAACAGAATGAAGAGGGAACCCCGGGATCACATCCGAATTTTCTTGTAGGTGTTAGAATAACATTTAATGTGATTCTCTTCTGATCCAACTGCCTTTGTAAGAGTGACCGCAGTCCAAATCCATCACACATTCTAGCACCCTCTTGAGACACCCCACTATTTTCCATGGCATGTGTCCTCCCTCGCTGCAACAAGTGATACAGCCAATTTGCTCAACTATAGGTGGGTTCCAGGTGGTCTTTGGCTGGAGGGCACTGATGGTAGTAGATATTCAAGACTATTATTGCTATTACTAGCATTTTTTTTTAAAAAAGATATTATTATTGTTGTTGTTATGAATCAAAGAGGTCTAGCACATAAGGTGCATCTCTGAGGAAGTGGCTGAGACACCCACAAGAAAGCAGACTTGGAATAGGTTGCAAAAGGCCTCTTGCTTCATGGAACAGTGTGAATTGATTACACACATATATACATACACATCTCCAAAGAGATGCTGACAAGTCTTCAGAAGGCCCCTTTGCAAAGGCAGAGAATGTGCCTGTCTTATTCACAGCTAAATCTACAGCACTCCAAAGAAGGCAGATCAGGTCACATAGCCCAGACTCAGTAATATATTTTTGCTGAAAAACAAAATGAATTCAAGCCTCTTGGGAGACTTTAACAGTTTAATTTGAATACTGATAGGTCAGACAGATAAATGTAGTTAACACATATAGAGTGCTTACTCACTATCAGACACTGCATTAAATGTTTTTCATGTATTACCTTAGCTGCCTCTCATCCCAGTCCTAGGAAGTAGATACTATAATTAACCCAATTTTATGGAGGGGAAAACTGAGACATAAAGACATTTCATGTTTCATTGAAGACTACACAGCTGGTGAGTGCTGGAGTTGGGATTTAAATACAGGCAGTCTGACCCCGGAGTCTGTGCTCTTAATCAATACCCTATACTGTCTACAGTCCAAAGTAACGATGTAGGTGTACTGACATGGTTTAGCTGTGTCCCCATCCAAATCTCATGAATTGTAGCTCCTATAACTCCCACGTGTCAAGGGAAGGGCCAGGTGGAGATAACTGAATCACAAAGGTAGTTTCCCCCATACTATTCTCCTGGTAGTGAATAAGTCTCATGAGATCTGATGGTTTTATTAATGGAAGTTCCCCTGCACACACCCTCTTGCCTGCCGCCATGTAAGACATGACTTTGCTTCTCCTTTGCCTTTCACCATGATTGTGAGGCCTCCCCAGCCATGTGGAACCATGACTCCATTAAACCTCTTTCCTTTATAAATTACCCAGTCTCGGGTGTGTCTTTATTAGCAGCATGAGAGAGAACTAACACAGGTGTTAGTGGACAATTAACTTTGCAGGTGTACTTGCATTGTTTGTGCCCCAAAACACAGAATGTACATTTTTTCCTGGATTAACTATGAGGGAAAATGCTCATGGAGTATTTTGGAGTATTTTTTATTAGTCATATAAATAGACCGCAACATGGAAATGATGGAGATTATATAATTCAACCACAGCAAAATAACATTAAACACCAAAAATTGTGAGGGGAACACAACATCAGGAATAAAAAGGGGATGTAGGAATAGATTTAAAGGAGATGAAAAATTATAAAGGAGCATAATGTGTAACATTATGCCAATAAATTTAAAAAGGCAGTTGAAAGGAACTTTTGTCTGGGTAAATATAAATTACCCAAAATTGACTCAAGAGGGGCCAGATGATGAATATGCCAATAATCGTCAATGAATTTGAAAAGGTAATCAAAGATCTATCCTTCTAAAATCCTTCAAGCCCAGATGGTTTCATGGGTATGTTCTATTACACCCTCAATGAACAGATAGTTAACTTGATAATTTAAATATTCCAGAGTATAGGAAAATGGAATGCTTCCAAAATCACTCTATACAGTTACCATAATCTTGTACCAAAGCTGAATGAGAACCCTCATTCTCTAAAATGGAAAAAGAAAACAATTTTTATTTACTAATATAGATGGAATAAACCTTATCTTAATATAAATAAATGATTCCAATCTAGCAGTGTATTTGTATAAAATAACATACATTAACCAAGTAGAGTTTGTTTTGAGAAATATAAAGTGTTAAATGTGTCATTCAAATCAGTGAGAGAATGGACTTTCTGAATTGGTGTTGGGACAATTGGGCTTTCATCTTTGTCAGATCCGTACATTACCCTGTGCACAAATACAATTTCCAGATGAACTCATAATCTAAACAACAGAGCTATACGTTACTACAACATTTAGGGAACTGTATTGTGATTCTGGGATACGAAGCCTCCCTAGGCAAGATGGGAAAGATGAGATATGTATTTGACTACATAAACCTTGAAACTGCTTTAGAGAGAAAAACTCCATAAACAGTAGACACTCATTCCAAATAATGGGTACTAGGAGGGTACATTTCTCTAAGTGATACTGTAGACACACAATATTTTTGCACTTAAAAGACAAATAGATAATCCTCCATCTAACTTGATTTTAAAAATTGGGAATGGAGCAGTAGCAAACACAAATAAATAATATTCGCAAAAAGAAGGAAGCATATCAGAGAGAACATATCACAGAACATATCAGAGAGAAAAACAAATATAAGGCAACACTATTTGTAGCTTTGTGCCAGAAAATTTGAAAACTTAGATGAGACAGGCAACATTCTAGGAAAATATAAATTACTAAAAACCACTCAAGAAGTAGGGTTTTTAAAAAATAAGGCAAATAGAACCCCTGTGTCTAGAAACATGTATCTAGACAAAAATGCTGGTTACCTCTGGAAGGAGAGGGCACTCTCTTTTTTTTTTTTTTTTTTTTTTGTAAAGGTTTTTAGTTTTATTTATTTATTGGACAGACTATTTTTTTGGTAAGTGTCATTATGTTGCCCAGGCTGGTTTTGAATTCCTGGCCTCCAAAGATCCTCCTGCCTTGGCCTCCCAAAGTGCTGGGATTACAAGGATGAGTCATTTACTTTCTAAATACAGTGCCCTATGCTTTCAATCATATACAGCAACTATTAACCACTTTATAAAAAGGAAACAAAGATTGTCCACGAACGACTGCACAGGAGGCCAGGGAATAGGTGGCCGGTGGGGTAAAGCATGGCTTTGGAATGAAATCCAACGGCCGTGGAACCAGCCCTGATCATCAGACTGTGCCCCACCCAGTCTTGAGGATCACACTGGCACCCTCCTCTCTCCCTCTCTTTCCCACACTGTGGACAGACAGCCTGAGATTCTAGCGCGTGTGTCCTGGAAAGCCGAGGAGGGCAGGGCCGCATCAAGAACAAAGGACACTCGAGTTCAAATCCCTGCCAGGGTCTGAGACCTGCAACGTCAGGCTTTGGGAGCGTCCTCTCACTTCTCCGGACCCCAGGGGTGGCTGCGCCTGCTCTGCGCTCACGCTTGGGGGTCCAGAGCCCCCGGCTAAGTTGCTGAGCGAGTCAGAGCTCCAAGACCTGGGTCGAGGGGGCGGGGCTGCGGGCGCCGCGGCTGCAGGTAGGCGCTTCCCACCCCCGCGGCCCCCTCCTTCCTCCTTCCCCCTTCCTCCTTCCTCGCAGCTCGCACACCCACACAACCCTCGCCCGTCGCGGCTGGAGAGCTGCTCTCGGCGCCAGCGGGCAGCAGCGCGTCGTCAGCCAGCACAGCCAGCCGAAGACCAAGCCGGAGGGCTGGGGCTGCGCAGGAGACCTGCACACCCGCGGCGCGGAACCCGGGCGATTTCTGTCTTTCTTTCATGCTTCTTTCTTTCTCTTAAACCCAAACAAAACCAACCCCCAAACTCCCCTGTTCCCACCGCAACTTAGAGGAGCGGTGGACTGATATGAAGGAACTGACGCAGAGGTTTTATTCACGAACCTTGAAGAAGTTCTGGGCAAGTGACTCGACAGGACCCGCGGGGCCTGGGGTAGCCCCAGCTCCCGGGGCTAGTTCAGTCTGGCAGTGCCCTCTGGCAGCCAGCCCGCAGCTGCGGGTAGGGGTGTGGGCCGCCCCCTGATTTCGCTTTGGGAATAATAATGACACTACCCGTAGCCTGGATCCAGGTTGCCTCGCTCGGCGATTGTCCCCACCAGGTAAGCGCACCCCAGTGGTCTCCACTGGTCTCCTGGGTGGGACCTCGAGCTCCCGAGAAGTCAGTCCATGCTGTTTAGCCACAGGCAGGAGTGGGGGACTGGTAGGAGAGAGCTTGCTTTTATCACAGGAAATTGTGGGAGACGGGAATGGAAGGCGGATTTAACATTTTTTTATTTCTGCATTGACGCGTGGGGACGAGATGCGTAGGGGCCTGGATTTTTGTAGGAAATGGTTGCGGAGCGGGGCTGGGTGATAGGTGTCTGGATTTTTGCAGGGACTGAAGGGGGGAGAAAGGTCGTAAATTTTTGCAGAAACCTGTGAGGAACTGGTGGTGAGAGGTTATGATCCTGACGATGCGCACGAAATTGTAAGAAGTAGGCATCTAAGCATTTCTGAGAAATGATGGGAGAAACACTTACCGCCCTGGTCTCACCTGACCCGCTCGCTCGGCCTGGAAGATGCCCGCAGGCACCGGCAGTAATGGACGGCGGCACTCTGCGCCCGCGCGGCCGGAGCCCGGAGTTCAGCACCTCGGACAGAGCCCGGCCGCCCCAGGCGCGCAGCGAGCGCGGAGCCGCCAGGTGCCCTGGCCTCGGGCCACCGCCGCTCTCAGTCCAGGGCGGCTACCTAACGCCGCCCCCAGCTCCGCGCCAGAAAGGGCTCTCGAATCGCAAAAGCAAACGTGTTCGACTTCTGATCTGCTTCGAACTGCTTCCCGTGACTGCAGAAGGAAGAGGCGGAGTGTAAAGACATCTCCCAAGCTTCCGCGAAAACCACAGCCAAGCGGTGTGGCCTCCCTGGGTTTCGGAAGGTGTACCCAAACTTCTCAAAAAATCTAGCATTTATTAAGCGCTTACCATGTGCCAAGGTGCCGTGCTAAGCCAGTGCACCACAAATTTGTGTCCTATGATTATCCCCATTTTACAGATGAGGAAACTGAAGCAAGAGCGGCCGAGTAACTTGTCCAGGTTTATGGAACTAGCAATGGCTGCGCTCTTCCACTCTGCCACATTGCAGTGGTGGGAAGATTTGCTTGAGTGGAATCCCTGCGTGAAATAGCCCTGAACTTGGGATCAGAGGAACAGAGTTTAAATCAAAGCTGTAGCGCTTACCAATCTGTGCCCTTAGACAAAATTACTAAATGTGTCTGAACTTCAGATTCTAAGTATCTATAAATACTTGATAATGCTTTCCTTGCAGAAGTGCCAGGGGAGGTTGGCCAAGGAGACCATGTCTGTGGAAAGACTGGCAAACTGGGAATTGTGTTGGGTGTTAGAGATTGAAAGGAGGGAGCAGGTAACAGAAGAGAAGGAGAATTGGTCGTGAACACTTCCCTCAGCACACACCGAGGGGGCCAGGCAGAGAGAGGGGCTCAGTGGCAGGAATTCTGGATGAGCTTAGTTCGGTGTGTAATAGCCTCTTAGATTTTTTAACAGGACTTTATAGAGAGTGTGGATATATTGCCTATCATTTGATCCTTATAACAATCTTGTAAGGTAGGCAAGACTGGTGTTATTCTACTCGTTTGGCAAAATGATGCTTGCCCGAAATTACTCAGGTACTTAGTAGCAGAGATGGGATTAGAATCCAGGTCTTCCACCTCTCTAGCTTATAATCCTTCCACATGGACTGGCATATCCTCAGGAGCTTGGATTATGGGGCAGTTACAGCACTAAAATGTATTTAGACAAGTACTTTAAATATGTGACATTGATGATTTTTAAAACCATTTTGAAACAGCAACTTCATATGGATCAATCTCATAAATGTTTATTGATCATATTCTGCTTTGTTCCACAAAGACTTTAAAGCAATTTATAAGGATCCACAAGATGTCAGCTTTGCATATATTAGAAGTACTCAAGAAAACAGAGGTGAAACAAGATTGAGGCTATAACCACAGATAAAATGATTACAAAGTACTTATATTATAAAGTCCTAGAAACTTGCTCTGATCTCTAGGCACTAGAAAGTGTATATCCAAGCTCTTTCTCAGAGGTCTAGGAACTTTGAAGGTGTTGGCAAAAGTCTGTAGACCCTTCTTTTTTGTATAATTCCTTCCCTTACCCTCTGGGAGATCTTCACTGCGACAAACAAGGAATGTTTAATTGGAAATCCAATGTCAGTGTGACTCAAAGAAGGGGAAATAAAGTGTGTGACATTGTATCTGCACTAAGGTAATTGTTAGTTACATAATTTATAATGGCTCACGTTTAATTTATAAAGCACACCATACTTTAAAGTTTACATAAAGGTCTACACCAATTAGCTTACTTCGGCTTTCTAACAACTCGGAAGAGATAAGCAGCTAGGAAGTCACAGGAAGGACAAAACCCCAGCATCATGACTTTATATATCATGTATTTTACTTTTATACACAAGCCCGCATCCCTACACAGGCCAGTTAAGTAACCTGAAGGTATGAATCAGGCCAATCATAAGACTGCAGAGTATGACAGGTCAGTGAATTTTCAAACTGAACAGTGAATAATCCATCTTAAAACATTCAAAGAAAATTTAAAACACAGCGCCAGCCAAGCAAGACATGGCTGTGGGATAAATTGGCCGTCAGACCTTCAATATGTAATCTTGGCCTAAACAACTCAGACCAAAGATTCAAGAAGGCATCGAAGTGAAAGATCCCGGATTCAAAAAGATAAAAGCTTCAATCCCTGTCTCTAAACAGGGAAGATTGGACAAGATGGCTTCTCTCAGCTTAAAAAATATAAGACGATCTTAGTTTTAGGGACAGTAAAATAATCAAAGGACTTCAGGACAAAGATACCAAACACTTCCGTCTACTTGTTGCCTCCATAAAAGAAGACATCATTTTAATTTTTGACACTGGTAATATTTTATCCTTCAGCATTTCTCCTCCAGCCCCTGTGCCCTTGTAAAATACATTGGCCACCATTAAAATAAAAATGAGTCCGGCAGAAAACAGCCCAGAGAGGTGAAAGGGATGGTAAGGGTTGGGGGGCAGGGGGTGGGGAGAGAGGGGGAGGACAGCAAGGGAGGAACCAGGCAAAATTTGCTCACTTCTCAGTTTACTCTTCTTATGAAACATGAAAAAGAAACCACTTTATATTTGCTAATTTTTTAAGACAAAAATATTCTCCCCAGAGAAGCCTTTCAAAGTGGGTGGGGTTTCCACATTCTAGGAACGCGTCAGCTTTTGTCAACCCAGATTGCTTCTTTTCTCTCCAACAAGCTTAGAGATCCTGTAAATCATCTAATATTTCCAATAATAGGTGTTCTTAATATTTATTCACTGTGATGCACAAAAGGAGATACATTTTCAAATTAAGGTAAATGAGATTTTGTTGACACTTTCGTCCAATGGACCAGTATTCAGTTCTACCTTGCAAACATCTCTTCAGCTTGACTCTTCCTCTATCTCCCTGCTGTGCCGTTTCTGAAGCTCTTCCTCTATCAGAGGCTCCTAGGAGACCCCCCAGCCTCCCAATTTATCCCCCACATTGTGGTCAATGATCATTCTCTTCCTTAAAATTCTGTACTGGTTTCCTGTTTCCACATAACAAATGTCAGACTGGAGGACAGGCTGCAAGATCAGAACTTTGAATCTGATCTCTCTAGACCCCCTCATATTTGCTTGCTTCATCAATGCACTTCCCACCACCACCATGCACCAATCGTCAAGTTCTTGAAATGTCCATGTTCTGCTACCTTCCGCCTTTGAACTTGTGCTTACCCCTGAATGTAATGGCTTCCCTCTTTTGGTTCAACAAATTTCCACTCATGTTTTTCAAGTGCTGCCTCAATTTTATTCTTTTTGTGAGTCCTTTCCTAATCTGCACTCTGAGTCCCTCCTGGCACTCATGTCTCCCTGTTACATATTTGTCTTCCATTCTGGGACTTATTACTTTGCACTACAATTATGTCACGCAGAGGCTAAGAACACGGTCTTTGGAGTTAGACTGCCTGGATCTGAATTCCAGCTCCACAACAGATTGCCTGGGTGATCTGGGGTAAGTGACTACCTTCCTGAGACTCAGTTTCATTTTTGATAAAATAGAGATAATAATAGTACCCACCTCATAGTATTGCTGTAAGGATTAAATGACATAATGCATATAAAGTGTTCAGCACATTGCTTGGCATGTGGCAAGCATACCACAAATGTTTATTACTATCGTTAAAACATACGTCTGCCTTCCTTCTAAATTGTAAATACCTTAGCAACCATTCCTGAATTTTATACATCTCTTTATCCTTAACACCTAACGTGGAGTAGTCAATATATGTTTGATCATGAATGAATAAGCGAGTAGATCGTTAATACATGTTTGATCATGAATGAATGAATGCACAAGTAATGCCATTGTTTTAGTCAAGGTTTACTTGGTTGTAAGTAACAGAAGTTAATTCAAGCCACCGGAAACAAAAACATGCTAATTTATTAGAGCGCTTCTAAGGTGTTCATGGACTCCAAAGACAGTTGAAACTTGAGAAGAGAGGAAAAGTGCTCTTTCCCTGCCGCTTGTCTCAGCTTCTCAGTGTGTTTACTTCATTCTTCTTCCTCTGTGTGTCATCTTTTCGGCTTCTCTGCACTTGTGGCAAACCCACAAAGGCAGCTCTTACATCCAGAGTGCCCTACAAACAGCCCAGCATAACTGGTGTTTCTCATCTCAATTTCAAAATCCACCCAAGTTTAAGTCAGTCTTGTACATGGGGCAAGTCAAATAATATAAACCGTCAGCCTCACTCTGTGTGTCAGGGAAGGCAGAGATAATATCAGAAAGAAAGCGTCACTGCAGCTTGTGAGAGATTGTCAGAGTCACACATTGATCCCTGAATGACCATGGGCAAGCCACTTCATCACTCTTGGCTTTAGTTTCCTCATCTGTGAAACGGTAGGAAAACCTTCATGAAAGGGGCATTTCATGGTTCAGGGGCGGCAGTTAACCTCAGTCTGGAGCAAAAACATGCATATTATTGGGCTTAAACCCTGGGGAATAGGAATGAAGAAAAATAAAGAGTATGCAAGGGAGGAGGAAAAGCAAACACAAGGGGATACATTATTGAGCTAGACACAGCTTCATGACAAATGCACTGATTATTCCACCGTATGGAAATTGTATCATCAATTGCATTCTGGAACAGGCAGTTGGGTGAGGAGAGGGAGAAGCGTTCACGTGACATCTCTTTCCCATCCTCTATTTCCTGCTGGTCAACATCTGTTCTACAAAGGGTTAACTCCCTCCTACTTCTTGGTTGAATGACCTAGTTTTTCCAGGCAACTGCTGGAGAAAGTCAGGCCAGAGTCAGTTTCTTCTGGTCAGCAGAAACCAGGTGTAGGGGTCCACTATTTGTAGCAGACAACAGCAGCAATGGCCTGACACTAAAACTGTGGGAAAAGTTTGGACTTTGCTAAGCCCACTCAGGCAAGAAAGCAAGGTAAGTGTGGTACACCCAAGACAGGCAAAGTAGATGTGGCTATGTAAATCTGGGCTGATGCAAGAATTTAGTCTGCCGTAATTTGTGAGGCTATTGTCCACTGTGGCTATGTAAACGCCAGTCTTTTAAGCCAAGTATTCTTTTTGTTTGTTTGTTTGTTTTGAGACAGAGTTTCATTCTTGTCACCCAGGCTGGAGTGCAATGGGGTGATCTCAGCTCACTGCAACCTCCACCTCCCAGGTTCAAGCAATTCTCCTGCCTCAGCCTTCTGAGTAGCTGAGATTATAAGCATGCGCTACCACGTCTGGCTAATTTTTATATTTTTAGTAGAGATGGGGTTTCACTATGTTGGCCAAGCTGGTCTTGGACTCCTGACCTGAGGTGATCCACCTGTCTCACCCTCCCAAATGCTGGGATTACAGCCGTGAACCACTGTGCCCTGCCAAGTGGCACAGTGGCACATTTTATTCTTAAACACAGGGGTTTATTCTTATTTTATTCTTAGACACAGGGCACATTTTATTCTTAAAATGAAAAGTGTAGGATTATTGCAGCATGCTAACAGTTCACGTTAGCCCCGCACATTTTTATCTGGGCTACAAGTGAGGTAAGCACCTGATTCTGTCCTCAGACAAAGCTCCTGCATTTCATCATTTAAGGAATTTCAGTTGGGAGGCCCACAGTGAAAAAATGGTTATAGACAACTTGCAAAACAAGTCTCTGAGCACACAGAATATTATAACTGTTGGTGGGCTAGATATAGATATTTCAGACCACAGAAAAGAACTCAGCTGCCTTATCTCCAACCTGCTGCCTCCTTAGGTGCTGAAGGGCAAGAATGGAAATAGGGACAAGACCTGAGCATAGCAGAGGAGGCGACCACTGATTCCAGCTGAAGGGAGAGAAGCATTCTTCTGCATACACCATGTTCTTTCCTCCCTTCCTTTCTTCTTTGCCTCCCTTCCTGCTTCTCTTCCTCCCTGTCTTGACTTTGAGCTAGACTAGAGATAAGCGATTTGCACTGCACACAACGTAAAATGTAACCCGATTATCCATCCATCCTCCTTCTCACCTTCTTTTCCTCCTTTTCTCCATCTTTTCCTTTAGCCTACTTTTTAATTGTCACACAGCTGAAAAGGGAGAAAGGACAGTACTTCTCCCTTGAGGGGTACAAGGTTCTATGGAGGGGGCTGACCCAGGTGATTAACAAGATTGATATTCAAAGAAAGCTGCAAAGTATTAAGGAACACAGGGGTTGTGGTATCTAGTTTTGCATATTTATGTGTGTGCTTGCAGGTGTGTAAGAGAAAAAGAGACAGAGCATGTACAATATGGTGTATGATATTCCAGAGTACGAATATACTACATTTTCTTTATTTTCTTCTTCTTTTTTAAGAGATGGAGGAAGGCAGCGAATCACACTGCCACGTGTGTTCCTATGCAACAATTTTGCATGTTCTTCACATGTACCCCAAAACCTAAAATGCAATAAAATAAATAAATGGGGAAAAAAAAAAAAGAGATGGAGTCTCACTCTGTCACTCAGGCTGGACTGCATTGCTGTGATCATAGTTCACTGCAGCCTTGAACTCCTGGGCTCAAGCAATCCATCTGCCTCAGCCTCCTGAGTAGCCAGGCCTATAGGTGCAAGCCATCACACCCAGCTTTTTCTTTTTTAGAGGCAGGGTGTCACTATGTTGCCTTGGCTAGTCTCAAACTACTGGTCTCAAAAGATTCTCCCTAAGTGCTGGGATTAGACTTGCGAGTCCCCATGCCCAGCCTATTTTCTTCCTGATCGGTTGTTTCCAGTTTTTGTCTTTTATGAATAGTGCTGCTGATGTCTTTTGGTACACATATTAGTTTATTCTTTTCTATGCTTGGCCCAGGGTCTGGGTGTTTCTTCCGCTGGTCTCACCTGGGCTCCCTAATGCAGTCGCAATCCTCTAGGGGCTGGCTGGGGCTGGCTGGGCTGAGACTGTGTCACTCACATTCTTGCAGTTGGTTGGAGCTATCAGCTAAAACTTCATGTGCCCTTCCTGGTGGGTACTCCAGATGTCTTTACACAGCAGCTGGGTTCCAAGGCAGCAAACTTGGAAGCTGCAAGCTGTACTCAGGCTTTGTCTTGAAAGTCACACAATGTTACATTTTATAGGTGAAAGCAAGTCACAAGGCTGACTCCTAATGTACGTGCAGGATGGGAGGACCTTGTGGCCATCATTTGCAAACTACCACAGGTATAAACCTAGGTATGGAATTACTGTGTCAGAGTTCAGTTTAGTTCAATTTATTTATACTCCCAACAGGTTCCTGTTGCTTCCTGTCTGCATTCCTCTTGGTATTGTCAGTCTGTCTAATTTTAGCTATTCTAAAATGGTATTTTGTTTTGCTTTAATTTGATTTTCCTTGAGTGCTAATGGGGCTGAGTATCTTTTTATGTGTTTATTGGTCATTTGTGTATCCTCTTTTGGAGGAAGTGATTTGTAGGAGTTCTTTATATAGTCTGAGGATGAGTCACTGTAATTTTACTCAGCCCTCCCTCTTTGATCTTGAGTGATTTTCCTCTTGAGCACAAAGGAAGTAACATTTGAGCTGAAGTTTGGGGGATGATGAATAATTAAAGAAGAGCAGCGAGGCCTTAGAGTTAGAAACATGAACAGTGCCAAGAGGAAGCACACAGGAAGAGTGGTGCATTGAGAAGGAGATTTGAAGATAGAATGTGAAGATGACTGGAGGGGCAGGGAATGAGTCTAGAGAGGTAGGCTGAGGCCAGGAGAAGAAGGACCCCTTTGACGAAATGGAAAGAAGCATGTTTTCTCTGGAAATTCCACTCATTTATCTAGTCCTTGGAAATTCTTCAATTCTGCAGAGTTCAGAGACTGACAAGCTTATTGATGCCTAGGGCTTTAACACAACAATGGTACGTAGAACCACAAAGGAATAAAATGATTGAAATTGACAGAAAGAGAGGAAAGAGAAAGAGCATCACACACAAGCACACACAGATCAGTAGGAGAGTGAAGGAGAAGAGGGGAAGGAGATGGAGAGACAGAAATGGAGACTTGTTGTCAATGTATTTAATAAACACACAGTGCCCTCGGATTATGGTAGATTGGCAGGAAATCCAGCAGAACACAAAACACAAGAACAGCAGACTCACATAGTTATCAGAACAATGCATTTGAAGAAGCAGAAAGATACACACTAGACTCTTAACCATGGTTACTTCTGAAGAGGGGGGAGAGTGACTTCAAGGAGGAATGGGAGATGAATAAAGAAGACCTCTTACTCTTTATATACCTACATGTAGCTTGGTAGCTTGGTTTTTTAAAAATAGCAATATCTATTCATGTATTAAGTTGTTCAAAGGGATGTATATATATCTTTCAATTTCAACCAAGAAAATCTTTTGCCTTCTAACTTAACAGAGTAATATAAAATAACTGCTTAGGAGAATAGAGTAAGAGAAAGAATGATGTGAATCAGATGAGGAGGAAACTCGGGCATTGTGGCAGGTAGACCACATGAGCCATCTGCTCATGAGGAGCCTCAAGGCACAAAAAGTCTATGTGACGGGGTTGTGCTGGCAGAGACACGGCCAGTGTGGTACCCATGGGCTGGCAGGGCATCAAGACTGGGATGCCCATCTCTCCTTATTTATGAAGGGCCTCTCAAGCAACACATAGGTTGGAGATTTTGAGTACAGGAATTAGGGAACTGGCAAAAGAATCAAAACAGAAAACTGAGGTTTGACAAACCTCAGCTGAGAAAGCTTTGGTCTGAGCTGTATTTCCTAACATTTGTGAGCAAAAATGCAATCCCCCCTCCATTCTCTGCCTCCTATCAGTTCAATCAGAGGGAAGAACATAGCATGGCATTATTCTGAATAAGGAGAACACAAATTCTGACACCTGCTGGAAAAGTGAGGACTACAACCTGGAGAGGGATAACGAGAGTGACTCTGTTTTACAATTGGTTTCACTTCCCGCCCCCTCAACCCCCATTGCAATAATAACACATATTTATTTTGGGAAAACTGCAAAAAGAAAAATATGAAACCACTCATCATCCCACTGCCCAGAATAAGGATCAACATTCTGATGTGTTTCCTAATAGTCTTTCTGAGGCACACCGATAACAACACATTAAACAATTATTTATGAGGCACCTATTCATTACATGTGAATCACTGCTCAATGCTGAGGATACAGCGCTGAAGAAAATAATCGCAAATATTTTTCTAAGGAATGCAGAGTTCTACATTTGTGATAAGTGCTGTGCAGTCAACACAATAACATCTTGCATTTAAACAAGTATTTACTCTATGCTAGGCATTATGTTAAGTGCTTTTCATGTGAGTGTTTTGTACACACTCTCTTAAAGAGTCTTCACAATGACCCTATGAGCTAGGTTAGTACTATCCCTTCCCCGACCCCGACACACTCATTACAGATGCAGAAACTACTCAGCAATGTTAGATAAGTTGGCCAAGTCAATGTAAATAGGGATCAGGTTGGAATATGATTGTACCCAGACCATGTAATAACCATGCTACACAGATCTGCTGTAAAAGATATAACATTTTAGGGGCCCAGTGTGCAATGGCTGCAAACAGCAGCTTCCTTGGTAGTGTATGCAGCCTGTTTCTTGTATGGGTTGCTCTAAGGGACCTTGGAGACAGGGCTTCCAGATGTATGTTCATGTGTCTGACCTTGCACTGCCCCAATGTAGGCTCCAAACAGGAATGCGAGGTGCCTTTGGAAAGCCCCAGGGCACTGTGGCCAGGGTTCACATTGGACAAGTGATCATGTCCATCCGCACCAAGCTGCAGAACAAGGAGCATGTGATTGAGGCCCTGCGCAGGGCCAAGTTCAAGTTCCCTGGCCGCCAGAAGATCCACATCTCAAAGAAGTGGGGCTTCACCAAGTTCAATGCCGATGAATTTGAAGACATGGTGGCTGAGAAGCGGCTCATCCCAGATGGCTGTGGGGTTAAGTACATCCCCAATCGTGGCCCTCTGGACAAGTGGCGGGCCCTGCACTCATGAGGGCTTCCACTGTGCTGCCCCCTTATAATATGAACCAATAAATTTACTTCTTGTCCAAAAAAAAAAAAAGATATAACATTTGTTCCCTCTTCTTCCTTTGCTAGGTTTGATTGCTACCGCGGCTCAGATACTCTAAACTGTAGCCAATATGATGGATGATGACACTGAACTGAGGACTGATGGAAACTCTTTGCTGAAGGCTGTATGGCTGGGGAGGCTCAGGCTGGCCAGACTGCTCTTGGAAGGGGGAGCTTACATCAACGAAAGCAATGACAAAGGCGAAACAGCTCTCATGGTGGCGTGCATCACCAAGCACGTGGACCAGCAAAGCATCAGCAAGTCCAAGATGGTGAAATACCTGCTGGACAACAGGGCAGACCCCAATATCCAAGATAAGTCTGGCAAGACCGCCCTCATCCATGCGTGCATCAGAAGAGCTGGAGGAGAAGTGGTCTCCTTATTACTGGAGAATGGAGCAGACCCCAGCCTTGAGGATCGCACTGGGGCTTCAGCTCTGGTTTATGCAATAAATGCAGATGACAAAGACGCGTTGAAACATCTCCTCGATGCCTGCAAAGCCAAAGGGAAGGAGGTGATTATTATCACAACAGATAAGTCGTCTTCAGGCACCAAAACCACCAAACAGTATCTTAATGTCCCGCCTTCACCCAAAGTAGAAGACAGGCAGTCGCCTCCACTGTGTGCATCTCCCTCTGACATAGAGCTGAAGGCCCCAGGCCTGGACTCTCCACCCGCTGAGAAGGAAGATCGCCTCTTCAGCCTCCAAGCAGGGCATCCAAGCAGTTGCAACACCTCCAAGGCTCTTAATGAGCCTGGATCACCGACCAGGAAAGTCAGTAATCTCAAAAGGGCCCGTTTGCCCCAACTGAAGAGGCTCCAGTCTGAACCTTGGGGCCTGATTGCCCCCTCGGTGCTGGCAGTCTTGGCGCGTCAGGACGAGACCCATAGTGCCAGCACAGACAACGAGGTCATCAAGAGCATCAGTGATGTGTCCTTCCCTAAAAGGGGGCCCCTCTCCAGAACCAATAGTATTGATAGCAAAGACCCTACCCTCTTTCACACAGTCACAGAGCAGGTTCTAAAGATTCCAGTCTCTTCAGCACCGGCATCCTGGAAAGCAGCCTATGAAAAAGGTCAGGCTCCCCATCCACGTCTGGCCAGGAGAGGAACGCTCCCTGTTGACCAAGAGAAGTGTGCTATGGGTCCGTCAGGGCCCTCTGCTCTCAAGGAGCCAGCCTCCTTCAAACGGCTGGAAAATGACCTCTACGACTTAGATTCACAGCCAGGGCCTGACCCTCCCAACCCCATTGTCCTTGAATCCAGCAAAGGACCTTTAGATAGAAAAAAGCTCAACAGCTCGCATTTGTCTCTTTTCCATGGCTCTCGGGAGTCCCTGGACGCCGTGCCTAGCACATCCCCCAGCTCAGCACGCCGCAGGCCGCCACATCTTCTAGAACGACGAGGATCTGGAACTCTGCTCCTCGATCGCATTTCTCAAACTAGGCCTGGCTTCCTGCCGCCTTTAAATGTGAATCTGAACCCACCTATTCCGGATATTAGATCTAGCAGCAAATCTTCTTCCCCTCTTGCTAGTGGCTTAAAATCTATGGTTCCTGCTGCTCCAACTTCACCAAAGAGAGTTGACTTAAGAAGTAAAAAGAAGCTCCTCAGAAGGCATTCTATGCAAATTGAACAAATGAAGCAGCTGTCTGATTTTGAAGAAATCATGACCTAGAAGTTTTAGAAAGGCTTAAAAAAAAATCTATGTAGTTTACGGAAGGGGCTATGGATGAGACTGCTTCCTGATCATTCCTTAATGTTGAAGTGTGGTCACTTCAGAAGGTATGAAAGCAGGTTGCTGCTTCACCTCTGAGAATAATCCCTGGGTTTTTATAGGCCTACTTGAAAAGAGCTCAGGATAATTGGGTTTTGAAGATAAAAATTTTAAAAATTCTCCAAAGAAAGAAAGCCTTTGAGTTTGAAGGTAACAGAGAGTACAGTGTTCTAAACTGAGGACACCAGTAATTTTCTATCAGACCAACAGAAAGCAAGAATGTAAATCAACTTGGAGTACTTCATTTGTAATAAATCTATTAAGTGCCTACATAGAAAATGAGGCTTTAACATTTGTTAGAATGTGCAAAAACCCCAAACCAACCCTTCAGTGACTAAATCTGGGTATCTGGCTTCTATCTGATGGAGTAGAGGCAGATTTCCCCCATGGAAGAGGCTCTGGCCTGTGGGTCCTGGCTCTGACTCTCAAGGAACTGTAAATCGTGGTGTGGTTAAAATTGTTTAGCTCTCCAGTGATATACCCTGTTCACATACTAATTTGTATGTACTCTGAGTACCCAAATAGCCAATCCGTGTGGCCCCTGAATTACGATATGTCATGGTAGCAGATGCCTTAGAGACAAATCTTGCTCCGGGAATGAAACTTTCCCCAGACACAGGCTCTTGTGTTGAAATCTTGTGAAAAGCAGTCAAGGTTAAGTAACTTGGAGTTGAATGTTATACAATTATAGATTACGGCTATAAGAAGCATTTCTAGATTATTCTCAAAACTCAAAGGACAACTGAGGATGGGGTATGCATAGATTAAAAGGTAAAGTAGGTGATTCTCAGGTTAGAAGCAGTGGGGACCATTCATTTTTCAGCCTAAAGATTTTAGTGGATGCAAACTGTCATTTTCCCTTCAGTTATCTAGGTAATTGAAGAAAAATCTGATTTCTTCTCTTCCTGAATTATCTAGGTGAGAAGAGATTTGCAGAAATAACCTGTGCAGCCCTTTTAGGCTGCTTTGAGCAAACCCAAGAAGGGAAGTAGAAACCTAACACATTTGGTATAATGTCGCCACATCTTAGATGAATATATTTTTGGCTATTCCCATTTATGTTTCCCCTCTTGCTGCTGAGATCTATTTGCTCTATAGTTAAAAAGCTCAGTAGTTCCTGAGGACAGCATCATGTAGAGGGAAGCGTAAGGGCTTTGAGTTTGACATATTTGGATTTGCATACCAGTCTTACCATTTACCAGCTGTGTGACCTTGAGCAGGCAGCTTAACTTTTCTGAATCTCTGTCCCCTCATATGTAAAATAGGATTAGTAATGCTTCACTGTACAGGGTTGTGGTGAGAATTAAATGACACAGTGTATGAATGTGCCTGCCATTGTGCCCGGCACAGATAGAAGTCACTGGTTAAGAAGCAATTTCAATTTATTTGAGATTGCTGAAGCAATATCTCAAATAATACACCTACTACACAAAATAGAATAAAGTTTACCTGGAAAAGTTCAAGTATCTCCATGAGATCCCCAGTTACTTGTATAAGTACTGATCTCTAAACTCATGCGTAAAGTAAAAAATTCTGCCACATAAAATCTACATATGATACAATTTTTCAATAATTACCGTTGCTAGAAATTCATCTGAATATTCAAAAAAAGTAATGATGGTTAAACAAACAAGCTTGGGGGTGTGTTTGGAGGGCTGTCTGTCCTGTGCATTGTAGGATATCTAGCAGCATCCCTGGCCTCCACCCACAAGGTGGCAGTAACACCCTCTCCCCAGCTGTGACAACCAAAAGTATCTCTAGACATGGCCAGATTTCTCCTGGGGCATCACCTCGGTTGCTCTCACCTGCTAGACCTATTGAATGCATGGTAGGCATATGTTAAGAACAACAAAGCCGTATGGAAATGTGGGTGCTGACTGGCCAGCTAGGCTCTCCCGTTAACTTAAGACAATTCAAGTTGTGCTTTAGTAAGACGACTAACCGACACTAGTGGTGGGCCTTCAGGATTCTTGGCAAATGCAGTCAAACATGAGGGCTAATGGTCTCATACTTTGTAGGAAGGGAAGAAAATAAGGAAAGCACATAAATTAGCCAAAATCTACAGCTCATGAACTTGGTTTGGTGCAGACAACTCTGTTATTTTCAGAATCATTAAATCATTAATAGTTTTTATCAAGTAGAAACAATCCCAGGCAAAGAAACCACTTTCCAATGCATGAAAGAGAGAATCATACAGACACCCATCATTCTCAACAGCTCATTAAATGCAAACACACACACACACACACACACACACACACACACACACAGAGAGAGAGAGAGAGAGAGAGAGAGAGAACCCATTTTACATACTTTTCCAGGTGTTAGTGTCAGTTAAAACTAATCTGCTAGTAGTACCCAGCTGTGGGTAGAGCAAGGCATTCCATAGGAGCATTTTTTCCCCCTCAGCCTTTAGCTAAGATTTGGAAACTCAATTTTGCCTAAGTAGTGAATGTGGTCCATTTATAGTAATTAGCTTAGGTGAACCACCAAACATGATGAGTTGCTCATTCAGGACAGCCGGTCCATCGCACAAATGTGTCATATCAGGTATTCTCATGCCACTCATTGCCTGCATCAGTCAGTCGTGACCTTTGCATTAGCCTTTCAATAGGCAGTCATTAGGATAGTATCTTAACTCATCACTACTTGATGATGCATTAGCGGAATTAGACTGTTCTATATCAGTACAACAACCAAAATACTTTCTCATAGATTATGCATAAATACGCGATTTTGTCCATGTCAATGAATTTCATAAGAATGCTTTTTAAAAGTATACTTTAGATTCAAACATGCTTTCTAGATCAGAGGTTAGCTTGTCTTTTGGGAATGGTGAAGTCACTCATAAGTTAGCTGCAAACTATAGTTTCAATAATTCAACTGCTTAAGAGTTTCTGGACTGTTTATCAAAATATATTACAGAATGTGAACCTAAAGCTTAAAGTCTGGACCTTTGGTTTAATTTCTAGACATTCCAAAGCCCTTTTTTTTTCTTTTCTGAAAAAAAAAAAAAAAAAAAAAAAAAAAAAAAAAAAAAAAAAAAAAAAGAAAGAAAGAAACCCATTGTCTATTCTCTTAAAACTTCGTTAAGTAAATGGTACCTTGCAAATGCAGGCTGTGTCTGACCTTCCTCTTTTCTGTGTGTTGGTGCCTCAGATGTATTGTGTGCTGCTTGAACTGATTCTCTAGAATTTCATCCTAGTCTCAAGCTGGTGATGTGCTCAAAGATGTATCAAAATCCATGTAATGACACCATTTAGATGTTTCTAATACGTCAATAAATGATATATTGTAATCGTTTCATCATATTTTCCACTTTTTCTCAGTGAAGTCTCAATTATACGTATTACCATTTCCTTAAGATGAATTGACATGACTGCCTAGTAACATCAACTAAACACCCAACGTTTTATGAACACATAATTTACAAAATTAGATTGTAATCACACAAGCATTATGATCTCTCTCCTAGTTGAAGAAAAAAGCACATCCCAATAAAGGAGAGGTGCATTGCCACTCCAAGGGAGGAATTTCTTTACTTGCCCCAGCTGCTCAACCCCCAGGGCTGCACCTGGCATCTGCTAGTGGCAGGGACGTATGGTCAGAGGATATCCCTCCCTTGGCCCTGTTTCTAAAGTTCAGAAGTGTTCATGTAAGCTGATTTCCATGAGCTCTCATTCAAGGGCAGGACAGCACGTATAAACTGGACTAGTTCGATGGTCTCTCTGGTCTCTTAAATTTTTGTACCCTGTACTTCAAATTTTATTCAGACTCCCTGATTCTCTGGACTGTTCCGATTCAGAACAGGTAATCTGGAGATTACCCTCAGGTTATCTCCTAGACTACTGAAATAAACTCAGTTAATTAAAAAAAAAAGAGACTAGTTTTAGGAAGTTTGTTCCCCCACTTCTAACTTTAGGAAAGAGGTCCATATTGTTTCCAAATCCTTTAAGCAGAGATTATGAGGCCTGAGAGTCTAATTCAGATTATTCCCAAGTAAAAAATTCTGTCAAATAAGCTCTACATATTATACCATTTCTATAATTACATTTACCAGAAATTTATCTGAATATTCCAAACAAAAGTGTTAATGATGATTAAACAAAACAAACGTGGAATTGTTTGGAGGGCTGTCTGTCTAAAGGCTTGGAGGTTCGGGGTTCCTTGAGTGGAACCTGCCCCTTTTCAGAGGAAAACCTTAGAAGGGAGTGGTGTACAGTGCCTCTTGGTAGTCAGGGCTGTGTTAGGTGTGGCAGGAAGGCATCTGAGTCACCTGCCTTGAAGAAACCCTACTGCTTGGATAATGAACACATCAGCGTGGTTATTAGTGAGCATGAACATCAAAGGGCTCCCTGAACTTGAATGCTATGAACTGCTGAAGATCTCCACAGAACAGAGGGGGGCGAGGTTCATGATGACTGAGATGACTTTCTTTGTTAGAAGGAGATGAACCTAGGATCAATTTTACTTTTATTAAGGAAAATTTAAAAACACAGACATACCTACATCCAAAGGTGATAGAGAGAAATTCATAGCACTCCGTCTGCTCTAGTCTGATTACAAAATGTCATGCATACAGTAGGAAGGACAGGGTCTGCATCACACAATTTGCCTGATGATGGATGCTAAAAATAAGAAATGGGCCTCCGGATATCAAAGGAGACCAGTGTTTTATAGCTATAACAATATCTCATGACTGCAACATAGGGAAAAGAGTCTGACGATTCTCACCTGGACTCCTAATCTAAAAGTGATTCTGTGATCCAATCTAGCAGAGATTGTGGAAGGGTGCCTTTTGAAATCCTAGAATGAAAATCTAATGGTCCTCAATGAAGGAAAAGATAATCCTTATGCATGAGGATTGGAGGAAAGTGGAAGAGAAGAGAAAGAAGTAATGAAAAGATAGAAGAGGTGGAAGTCTTGAGAATGTGAACCTGTCCAAATATCAGCCTAATGACATAAATCCACCTGGAGCTCCCTTCTGGAGCCATCTTTCTCCTCCGGCAGCATCACAGACACTCCTGGCCTTGGACACAAAGGCTGTCTGAGAATTAACGGTCTAAGTTAATTTTTTATTATCCTATTACAATTTAATAAGTTGTTAATCCTGGTTTTGCTGCAGTAGGCAATATTGGTTGTCTCCCCACTTTGATTCCTCCTTCTCCTTCCTATCAGATCCTGATTTTGTTCACCTTATAACTTTGCAGCTTTTTTGATGCAAAGGAAGCTGACCCCATCCCCAGCTCAAAGAGGAGTCCTGATTGTTCTAAATTAGTCATGGCAATTTCATTCTCCTTACCTGTGATTGGTTAAGGGCTCCAGCATAAGCCAGTCAGCACATGGCTTTCCCCTTGTCAATGCCTTAGATCCAGAGATGGGTACAGGACCTAAGTCAGACCAAGTGAGGGAATAAAAGGACATTTATCCCGTAACTGAAGGACATCCTTTTACTGGACATGTCCAAATACTCACTTTATTTATTTGCTTGTTTGCTTTGACAATCTTGTAACAATGGGAGGAGAGTCTAAAGATAAAGAAGGCAGAGCCAAGAGCCCAGCAGAGAAATGGATCTGATGATGTAATGCCTGGAGCCCACACCACCTCTGAGCTTCCTGTATGTGAGATAATATATTCTTGTATCATTTAATATAGCTGTAGTTAGTTTTCAGTTTACTTAAAGCCAAAAGCATCCTTATATCACTCACGGATTTGAAATGTCATCTTTATAATATGCTACATTCTTTATTTTAAAATTATTGAACTCCTCCATCCCATTCTGTTTCATTCTGTGACATTCCACTGATGTATTTGTCTTTCTGTACCAGCATCACAGCACATCATTTAAATCATTGTAGAGTTTCAATTTGCTTTCACAAATTGTGGGTCAAGTCCCCTCTCAGTTCGCTTCACTGGACAAATTATTTCTTGAAACCATTTTATTAAGTATTAAAATTGTACTGGGATTATGATTAGTGTTGTATGATATCATTTAGTTATTTGGTACTAATTAACATTTTTAAAAATATCAAATCTTCCAATCCAGAAGCATAAACTCTTACTCTACAGAGTTCATCTTCATTTTTAATCCCTCGTTAAAGTATTTAGATTTCTTCATAGAGATTGTTGCATACATTTCTTTTTCATCCTATTACTAGGTAGTAAATGTTATTGTGACTATGATACTTTTTCCCACGCTCTCAGATATTGCTGGGAGGATAGCATAACTTGATTTCCCTTAATGCGATTACAATGAAAATATCCATGAGACTTTTCATTAAAAATGACAAATGATTCCATAATTCATACAGAAGAGCAAAGAACTGAAAATAGCTAAGACAATTTTGAAAAATAGTAATGATATTTGGAAGATTATCATATCAGATGACAAGATTTAAAAAATTATAGTAATTAAAATACTGTGATAAGATGCAATAATAGATAAACTGACGACAAAAACAGAACAGAGAGCCTAGAACACAACCTTGAATAGGTGGAAAATTTAGGTATGATAGCGGTGGCACTGCAGATCAATAAATGATGATGAGAAAATTTGTTTTCCATATGAAACAAAAATGAAATTGGGCCCTTACAGCATACATGTACAACCAAAATGAATAAAGCAAAACTAATACTTTGATTATGATTTTTTGGATTTGTGCTTATAAATGAGATTAGCCTAGCGTCTTCCCTTTTTATACTGTTTGTCTGGCTTGGTATCAGGTTTATATTAGCCTCATAACATGTACTGGGAAATGATGCCTCATTTTACATTCTCTGGAAATGTTTAAGTTTGGAATGAAATGTTTCTTGATTGTGTACTCATAGGTTTTTCTTGTAAGTAGATCTTGCTGATAAAATCATCTGGACCAGGTGGGACTCTGTGTGCGTGTGTGTGTGTGTGTGTGTGTGTGTGAGTCTGTGTGTGTGTGTGTGTGTGTGTGTGTGTGTGTGTAAGTCTGTGTCTGTGTCTGTGTATACATTAACGCATGCACATTCATACATGGATGTGCATAGTGTATAGATACAATTATTGTCTTCATTCACAAATGAGGAAACCAAGGCTTAGAGGGATTAGGTGGCCTGGCTGAAGTTACTCAGCTGGGAAGCAGTAATTTGAGATTGGAACTCCCCAGTCTGGCAATCTGGGTCCGGAGCCCTTTCTTTTATCAAGTACATGAGCTTCAGACTTTAAATACTAATTGCATTTACTTAATGGTGATAGGGGTTCTTACATTGGGTTTAGTGAAACCAAAACCTGAGACAGTGATTTGAGCTCCTATGTTGTACTGAGGGAGTGATCTTCAGGGAAAACCTCTAAGGAAGATAGGGAGGCAGGATTGAGCAGAGGGAAAGGCCCAGAAAGAGGTGATCTCAGGTGAGGTCTAGCTTTGGCTGGATTCCCAGAGGAGGCGCATAGAGAGAAGGCATCTCGCTGCCGGATCGTCCCTCTTTACTGCACGGGGGCTCCTATTTTTATTCTTGCTTTAGTCAGTCATAGACTGTGGGCTGAGGAGAAGATGCTATTTTTTTCTGACCCAGATTTAGGGTAATTCTTAGGAGAAGGGGGAAGCTGTAAAAACTTAGCAGTTAACAGAGCAGCCGGGGATGAGTGAGCTATCTGGTAAAGGGAATCTGTGTGGAGCATCCAAACAGCGTCCACCGCTCCAGCTATTCAGGTTTCATATTTATTCTCGAGTCAGATTTGGAAGGTTGCATTATTCTAAGAAATTATCCATTGTTTCTAAGTTCATACATGTTTTGGAATAAAATTATTTACATATTATTGTGAGCAGCATTGCTGAGGTATAATTGATTTCCAGTCACGCGCATATAAGGTACAATTTGATCCTTTTGACATATGTATACACTGTGAACCATCATCACAATCAAGAAAATAAACACTTCGTTTTTTTTTTTTTCTTCTTTTAAACTTGGTGTACTTTAAGTTCCGGGATACATGTGCAGAATGTGCAGGTTTGCGACATAGGTTACGTGTGCCATGATGGTTTGCTGCACCTATTGACTTGTCCTCTAAGTTCCCTCCTCTCACTCCCCTAGCCCCCAACAGGCCCTAGTATGTGTTGTTCCCCTCCCTGTGTCCATGTGTTCTCATTGATAATGAACATTCTCATTGCCACTGAAAGTCTGCACGTCCCCTTTGAATCTCATCCCCAGCACCAACTGATTTGCTTCTTGTCAGTACATATTAACTTGCATTTTCTAGAGTTTTATATAAGTGAAATTCTACAGCATATACTCCATTGCATCTGGCCCTTTCACTTAGTGTAATCATTTAGAGATTCACCCA